ATTGAGATTGAAGGTGATATGAGTATTTCAAACTTCACACCAGCTTTTATTTGGGTGAGAAAAACCACCACGGTTTGAAGATTTATTCCATTATGTAAAGCCAATCGCTCAAGTTTCCCATTCGTTATTGAGGGCGCCCTATAAACATTTTGGTATATCGCGGATATCTATGCACTATGGAAATTGCTATTGATATCAAACCAGCTATACATCGTTGCGCGACCAGCCGCGATAGGCTGGTTTTAAATAGTCGACTAGCATAGTCAACCATCGTCGACTAGACAGAGTTCGGGCTAAGTTTAGTCGAACTATGGTCAAACGATTGGTAAACAATAGTTCTTGCGCGAACTTGTCCATGTCTGCCGGTTTTTGTGAATGGCGCCACCACAAGCTGATTGGCGATTTAGCTCGTATCCCCCGCCCTGCAAACAGGGCGCTGGGATACTCTGATGAGCTTCACAGAATCTTGCGAAGGAAGTGGCCTTTGACCTATGTATAAAGCATCTGGCTGTAGCTGTTCAAAACCGCAGTTAGACAATGTGCGCAAATACTATCCGAAAACTTCCAATAGAAATGCGTGCATTCCATACCGGATGTGATTTCTGTTTCATTGCGGACCATGTGGACAACATTTTGAGCATCGCATAATGCAAACCGACCGTTCGTGATTCGAAACGAGCCTGAGCGAGTGACGGGAATGTCCTCCATTATTACGCTTTTCAACAAAAATAAAACATCTCTAAACTGGAATAAAAGAGTAATGAATCAGTCTTAACGGCCGTTTCAAACCTTGCAGAGTCATGACCGTGATGACGCGCAGGTCACAGGTCACGCAAAATCCAACCAATCAGAGCGTGAATTCATCAGAGTATCCCAGCGTCCTGTTTGCAGGGCGGGGGGTACGAGCGAAATTGGCGATGGGCCTATTGATTATCAGCAAAAGAGGGCGCTATTTACAATGATGGTACCGCGGTATTCCCGTATTCCCGACAGTTCAGATTTGGTCGAGACCTCCACATGCTCCAACTCCGAGACCAAGGCAAAGAGGACCTATTCTACTTCCAAGACCAATACCTTCACCTCCGAGGACCGAGACCAGATAATCAGACAAATAATGTTTTTTTTTTAGTTTCAAACTAAGCATTTACACTTTTAATTTGATCGATGTTAAGTTAACTTGAAAAACATTCTTTCTTGCAAAGGCTTTTACTTTTGCTATATTTTTTTCTATTGCATTTTTGTTTGTTCTGCACGGACGAAACCATACGTTCTGCTTCCGTTTACAGAATGTATATATTAATTTATTTAGTTTTAATATTTCTAATTTGTCAGTTTTTGGATAAAGACCGCACTAGAGACGCTATCAAAACATGGTACAATCAGTGACAAACCCGAGGTAACAAATCCGTTCTTATTATACCAGTCTCGTTCGGTTTCTTTGATTATCGGGGGAGGGGGGGGGGGGGGGAGTCGGAACCAGCAAAAATAGGTCTCGAGATGGTCTTCAAACCTCCTTGACTGATGGAAATGTAGTTAACAAAATCCGTCAAATGAAAGCTCAAAAAAATTAGACGTCACCAGCCGCGCACAGCGGTACCGTACTATAGTATGGGCGGCTTGTTTATGAATAGCGCCACCAGATGGCACAACTTCATTCATAATTAGTGAACTTTCAACAACAGAGGGGGCTCTTTATCAATATGGGGGTGGGGAGCGGAACACTGTGACCTGCCTGCCAGTGTCATTTCGGGGAATTGTCTGTTCCTCCTGTGTATAGTCCTGTGACGAACCCAATTATAAACGACAAAATGTGGAATGCTATAAGTCACTCCATTATCTATCACAAGGTGACAGCAGAAAGGTCTTTTGATCTTATACAACCCCTTGCATGTGACGTCGCATCTGAGACAAGTCTTTGCTTCTCTGTGATACGAACAAGGAGACAGTTTGTACTTTCATTGACACTGAAATAAAAAAAAGTAATCAGAATCTGCCGTCAGTGAGGGGGCACCGTGCAAATGGTCTTGTTCACTTTCAGTTTTCAGCTGATGTCAATACAAACTTGAAAAGAAAAGAATGTCAAAGTGACTCATCACCTCGTGACGGCTTTTCAAAGAGGAAATAACCGCCATACATGTAAAAAAAAAAAAAATAGGGCCGAATTTTGAGTGTCCCGTGAACCCCAAATTAATCAATACTAAACCGCCCAACGTCGTACACCTCGTCGCAGTTTTTTATCATCTCAGGCATCCTTGCAGTACCTAAATCAGGAGTAGACTTGGTTTCAATCATATAGGGTTGACAATTAATTACGTACCTTTGACGACACACCGTGTACGTCGCGTCTTACCGTCGTGCGTAGTCGCCCTGACCACCCACCCATGTGGTTCCCATCGTAATGAGGGCAGTGCACTCTTCACGGCACCCTTCCACTGAACTAGCCTACTTGACAAAAAGTGAGATTTGGTACTGCTGAGCACGAGGAGATAGATTATAGTCTGCTGATTCCGAAGCTGCATTGTCAACTCGATAATTAGTCGTTAAAACTCCAGTCAGTAATAATTAGCCTTTCCATTTCGCGGGAGGAGCGGCACAGTAAGATGGCCGCCTTACTTTGGCCGTACTTTGCCTAGGCCGTGTCCAAAACGGGCTTCCAGAGCTACGGCTACGTCATTGTCAGCGCGTCCCCGCGTATTTTCAATGGAAGCCGACCTAGACCTAGCTCTAGGCAGCTGATTCGGATGTTGCCCTACAGTCCATCTTTGTTTTTAATATGACGTCCGTGCCTCCGAAATTCACGCAATAATGAATGCTTTTTAGTGAAGTTTTGCTCAAAACGGGATTTTGATAACGCCCTCTGCCGGCAGCTTTTAAAAGAGAGCGGCCTGTATCACTGTTATATTCTTGTGTGACCAGTGGCACAGCCGGGGAAGAGCTCACTGGGTTTGCCTCCCTCTTTGACGAAGGCGCACAAATAAAAAAAAAGGAAAGAATCGGCCAATAGCTGATAATGTAATATCTTAGCTATAAAATCTACCGGAACCGCGGCTGCGAAAGTGGGTCTACTATACGCGATTACGTACGTTGCATGCTGTTATGGACAGCAACCCAACATAAAAAGTGGCGGCCATCCTCCTCCCCCCCCCCATCCTAGAAGAAATTCAAGGAGAGAAGTCCATGAAGAAATATGTTAATTTTGATCCTTTCCGAAATGACCTCGCGTTAGAATGGATATCGAAATCGTGGATCAGGGATGTTTATCATTTTTAAAAGGGAGCCATGTTTGCCCTTTTTTAAACTATATTATTTATTCTTAGAATGAAATACTGGTAGATTTTAACATAATACGTGAAGTCTCTGAAAATTAATTGTGGAGTATCAATTAACAAGGCTGGTGTATATGCCGCTCAGCTCATAAAATGGGGATTACAACAAGCACAGAGCACTGACAAAGGATGGTTAAGTTCCGCTCAACCATACTGACAAAAACTAGGAACCTTAATTTCCTTCCAATCTGATTTTTTTTTGTATGGCATTTGTTGCTTTATTTTGAATGAATTTAAATTTTGTAATCTCATTTGAAACTTTTGAAATATTTTCAATTAATGTTTTTGTCCTCGGTATTTTAAAATTGCATTGGATATGCATTGGGTAATTTCTGAGTATTAATTGATGGTACCTTCTATGGTTGTTTAACCAAACTTGTATAATGTTCCTCTTTTAAAAAATACATTCTCTTTCCGGGCTTAATCCAGGCCAACATCCCAACCAAAGGTACATCGCAACTTGCAGATTGCACTATACATGTATAGTCGGACGGGGGATGTATAACGTTCGAGAGTTCAACCAAAACTCACACCACTCAAATATTGAGTCAATTATTGGACTGTAATATAGTGTACTATAATATTAATTATAGTTTAGTACTTAAAATAGCTGCCAATTCTGCCAATTTAGAACAGATGATCAACTGACTCGCAGTTGAAATACCTTTGATGTTGACCTCTGAAAAAAACGTGAGGTTGAAAGTTATCCCGGTGAGATTTTCCCGTGGTTCTAAATAAAGAACAAAATAAGGAAGGAAATAAATGGAAATCCCTAGCGCATCCATACATGTGCGTCCTGTGTCCTAATTACATATAATAATGAATAAAGGGGGTCATGTGATCTACATGTACATGAACATGGGCCTACATGTCTTTAGAGTTACAATAATCACATGGATAATATTAAACAAATGGGTATTGGGTGTAAATAGCTTCAACACTTAATCGCTATGGAACTAATTATAGCCTTAATTAAGACTAATAGCACTTTAACATTACTAAGTGGGTAAGACAGACCCTATAACACTGTAAACATGTACATGTATTTATCACTATACACATGTACTTACAATGATTATCAAAACAGTTACAAATCACCCCAGAAAGGTCCCCATAAAGGCATCAAAAATGTACTTACTATTCAAAATCACGCACAGGAATTATCTTGGATGATTATGGGATAACTAGGAATGGGATTTTAGGCAACCTGGTTTGTTATAAATGGGAAAACAGGTCAAGTTTGGATCAAACGCTGGAACAGAAGTTACGGACATAAATGTGATTGTAAAATAAGGATTTTATTGAGGGCGCCCTACATGCTATCCAGCAGTAAGCCAAATGAATATGTAAACCACAAGAGGGCGCTAGTCAGCACAACAATACAACTACTACTTTCTGACACAGCCGCCCCTAAATTTGGGAAACAAATTTATAAATACAAAAGAAAGCATGTTGTGAAACCATCCAACTGTTCATCAACCTATGAGGTCGGAGCGTCCTTGAGTTCATCGTTGTTGCTCATCTCAGGGAGTTGAATCAGCCGAGCTACAGGACGTGTGTAGACCTTGTTTCTGACTCTCACGTCGGCACTCCGGACACGACCATCCGGTCCAGGGAAGGTTTCAATAACTCTGCTGATAGGCCACTGCGCCCGAGTGAGATTCGGGTCAATGATCATGACGACGTCGTTCTTGCACAAACCCACCACATCTCTTTGCCACTTCTGACGACTCTGAAGTGAAGGTAGGTAGAACTTGGAGAATCTGGTCCAGAAGTGGTCTGCAAGAACTTGGCTATGCTTCCACTGACGTCTTCCCAACAGGTCTTTGGCTGGATAGACAACTTGAGGTAAAGCTGGGTCGTAGCGCCCCATCAGAAGGACATTCGGTGTGACAGGGTCAATGTCGGCAATGTCTGAGGATGTGTAGCCAAGAGGCTTCGAGTTGAGAATTCCTTCGACCTCGATGAGTACGGTGCGAAGGACTTGCTCTGGTACCGTCTGATCATTGAGGACAACTCGCAGGCCATACTTGGCTGACTTGATCTCTCTCTCCCACAATCCTCCGAAATGTGGGGCATTTGGAGGGTTGAAACGAAATCTTACTTGGTGTTTGGCAAGCTCTTGCTGTAGGGCTGGATCCATCGCTGAGAAGGCTTCCTTCAGCTCAGAAGCACCCCCTTTGAAGTTGGTTCCGCAGTCCGACAGCAGCTCATACGGCTTCCCCCTTCGGGAGGCGAATCTTCGGAAAGCCATCAGAAAGGCATCGGTGTCAAGACTCTCAAGTAGGTCTAAATGCACTGCTCTCGTTGTCATGCATTTGAAAATGATGCCCCAACGCTTCTCTGTTCGCCTGCCTATCTTGACAGTCATCGGCCCAAAGCAGTCAACGCCTGTGGAGTAGAATGGTGGCTGCTGGATTCGGAGGCGGGCAGAAGGAAGATCCCCCATCTTAGGGACACTTGGAGTGGCTCTCCACCTCTGGCAGTCAAAACATTGACGCTGATGTTTGCGGACAGCCTGTCGACCACGAAGAATCCAGAATCTTCTTCTGATTTCGGCATGGACACGTTCTGGACCATAGTGCATGAGTCTCTGGTCAAAGTCCTGGATAAGGAGCTTAGTTACAGGATGTGCAGGGTCGAGCACAATTGGATGCTTGGTGAATAGCGGGATTCCTTCAGCATGACGCAGCCGGCCCCCAACTCTGATGACTTGGTCATCTCCATCCCACTCTGGCGAGAGCTGCAGCAGTCTTCTTCCTCGAGGGAGCTCCTTACCATCCTTGAGGGCACCCCACTCTTCGGGAAAACTGGATTTCTGGGCTCGTTGGAATAGGTGAAGCTCAATTTCTGCTCGCTGATCAGCTGTTAGTTCAACAGGACCATCATCCTTCGCCGCCCCGTCACAGAGCTGCTTAGATGCCTCGATGAGCTCATCCATAGATTTGTAGTTCTCCAGGTCTGGGATGTCAGCCAGTTCCACGGTCACTATACCGCAGAAGGAGGATTTCTTCAGCTCCGAGGAATCCTCAGCTAGGGCACGTGCATATGGGAAGGCTGGCCAAAGATCAGGGCTTGCGGATAGGAATGGTGGCCCGTCTCGCCATCTGCAGGGTTGACTGAGTGACAGCAGACTTTTCCCTCTCGTCAGATCATCAGCTGCATTATTTTTCGTGTCAACGTAGCGCCATTGGTCCACGTTAGTCAGGGTCTGGATCTGGGCCACTCGGGTCCCCACAAAGACTTTATACCTACAGGACTCCGACTTCAGCCATGTCAGGACTGTCGTAGAATCACTCCAGAGAACAATATCTTCTAGGGGTAGAGTCAACTCTTGCTGAAGGAGACTGGACAATTGAGCCCCTGCCAAAGCGGCCGAGAGCTCGAGGCGGGGCATGGACAGCTGTTTCTTTGGCGCAACTCGGGACCTGGCCATTACAAAGCTGGTGTGTATGGTATGCTTCTCATCTTCCGTCCGGAGGTAGGCAACTGCACCGTAGATCCTCTCAGACGCGTCACAGAAGATGTGAAGCTGGCGACTGGCTGTTTCTGGGTTGACATCAGGGGGCGTGTAACATCTAGTTAGTTTGATGACAGACAGGTTTGGTAGCTCATGTTCCCAGGCTCGCCATCGGTCCATAATCTCTCCGGGCTCCAGGGCATCGTCCCAGTCACGTTTGGTCTTCCATAAGTCCTGTACGATAACTCTGGCTCTGGCAGTGAATGGTGTGAGGTACCCATTTGGATCATACTGGCTGGCTAAGGTTTTGTACATGTTTCTCATGTTCAGGCAATCATAGTTGACTACCCGGTGCCGGTATTGCAGATCACCTGTGCTACAGTCCCACTGGAGTCCGAGCATGGGTTCGGCCAAGTCTGTCTCTCCAAACGTAAGCCAGAGATCACAGCCATCTGAACGTGCTTCAGGAGGGAGATCGGCTACAACGTTGGGTACATTACTGGCCCATTGACGAATCTCAAAACCACCCTTGGCAAGCAAGTCACGCATGTTGTGGACGAGAGCCTTGGCTTCGTCTTCCTGTGGTACACTGACTAGGCAGTTATCGACGTAGAAGGATCTATCCACTGCATCAGCAACTTCAGCAGACTTCTCTCGATGATCAAAGGCATGCTTACGTAGCGCATAAGTGGCGCAACAGGGGCTGCATGTTGCTCCGAAGGGTAGTACCTGCCACTCATAGATCTTGGGTTCGGTGTCGGTCTTCATGTTTCTCCACAGGAAGCGGAAGAGACATCTTTCGGTGGGCTGCAGCCTTACTTGGTGGAACATTGCCTTAATGTCCCCTGACACTGCTACAGCATGTTGGCGGAAACGCAACAGTACCCCAAGGAGCGATGCACCGAGGGATGGACCAGGAAGTAGGTGCTCATTGAGTATCTGGTTCTGATACTGGAAGGAACAATTAAACACAAGGCGAAATTTCCCGTTGTGTTCGACTGTGTGATGCGGAATGTACCAGGATTCTTCAGACTTTGCAGCATCTTCCACTGCCAGGATTCTGACGTAACCAGCATCTACTAGCTTCTGGATCAGCTCGTTGTGTTTCTCTGCCAGCGATGGTCGGGTTGCAAGGCGCCTTTCTGTTCTTCTCAGGGTTGGAAGTACAGCCTCCTTTGGAGCATGGAACTTGGCGTTGTCAGTTCGCAAGAGGGGAGTTACATAACGCTGAATTCCTCCCTCAACCACACGGGCTGTCTTGTCTTCTAGAAGTTGCACCGCACGTTGATCTTGCTTGGAGCGAACGACGTGCTTTTCGTTCACATAAGGCACAACATCAATGCACTGATCGCGGAGACCATGGGGCAGTGTTATGTGCACCACGATACTTGAAGGAAAGTCCGCTAAATGATGAGTTTAGGACGCTGAGGCAATAATTCAAAATCAGAAACAACATAATTGGAAGCGGAAGCAAAAAGTTTCCCTTCTCAGATTGGAATATCAAATTATTTTAATTGATGTCTGATTTTATATAAACAAGGCAGAATTAAATGAATGACAATCAGTTCCCACAATGGCAAGTAGTGTTATATGAAATAAACCAGTGTTACAGGAGCTAGGGTATAGAATTTGCGTGGTCTACAATTGTCAATTAACTTAAATTCCAGTACAAAATGCCGTTACGTTCAACTGTTGCTTAATTTCCTTAATTTCCCTAAATATCCCTTATAAATTTCCCCAACTTCAAATTCCCCGAACGCCAAGCTGGGTTGTGTTATGGCATCAGACTCGCCAACCTATCACACACAATATTTTATGGAGCAGGAAACCAAAGCTAGGATTAGACATACAACAGTCACTGTAAATTGCAGACATGAAACAGTCACAGTGTGCGACCAGGTGATTCACTCACGAAAGTTTTCAACAGATCGAGAGGACAAATGAACCTTAAATTACTCTTTTTCCAATCAAAATATGAACCTAAGATTTGTCCAGTAGTATCAGGGATAGTGATGTGAGACTATGAGACACAAATCATGCAATAGATCTAAAAATGTTATCATCAAAAGCTGAGTTTAGGGGCACAAACTATTCTTCAATGTACTCACACATTGGCAGCTGATCCGAAAAGGACGGTATTGCTCATCACTTTCCAAGATGGCAAAACACACGTAGATTAATGCGCCTCACAACCCCTCTCCTGACACTATTAGCTCAACAAAAGTGTCTTTAACAGTTACAGGATACAATCTCCCACATTAATAGAATTTTACAAATAAGTGAATTCAGGATTGATGCGTCCAAACTGTTTTAAATAATTACTTTTCCTCAAAGGAACTATTTGCACTACATGTGGATGAATAGCGGTGACATGTCGCTACACGCTATAAATAGAACTGATGAAATCACGGTCTCACACGAAGACTACGGAGGCTCTCAAAAGACACGGACCCCTACATCAACTTGCCAAAGTTTCTCAACGTGCCTCATCAGCTCGGCTGTCTCTGATTGGGCTGAAACTTTGAAGCACCGTTGCTCACCAGCTTTCTACCTCAAAATGCTGGCTGGTCCATGGAGAGTCCAATCCAGTCTTGTGAGAGCGGCTACCGGTGTCCCACTAGGGCCAAACCTGATAGGTCGTCTTGGGGCGATGAGGTCAACGTGATCTGACCCAATTAGGATGACTGGTCGAGCTCTATCAACCAAAGGCAGTGGCAAGTCACGAAGATGTGGGTAGCACTCTTGCAGTATCTTGACTGGATACGTGTATTCGGACAGGCATAGGTTACCAGCAGCAAAGACACCATCCAGGGAGAACTTCACATCTGGCTTGTCATGGGGTGACACAGACAGAGACACGGATTGACCTTGACAGATGACAAGGTCTTCTCTGACTGTTCGTAGATGCATAGTCTCTGGTGTTCCGCTGAGCTTAAGCTGTTGTGCTGCATCTTGAAGTAACATGGTTCGCTCAGATCCATCATCAAGTACTGCATAAGAGTCAATGTTGCTGTCTGGACCGTGGAGGGTAACTCTTACCACTTTCAGCATGGTATTGCATGGTCGGCTAGGTTTGTCCACATAAACGGACTGGCTTGTAGGTTTCACCATGAAAACACTTGTAGCCTTCTGGGCAGCCTCATGCAGAACTGTAAGGTGCACTTCCTTACACTGGTGGCATGGTTTCTTCAAGGTGCATGCATCGGGTTCATGCTTGCGGCAACACTTCCAACAGCGTTTATTCTCTTGGATCCACTTCACTTGCTCCTCGGTAGAAAGTGCCTTGAAGGTCTGACAGCCATTCAAGAAGTGATCTTTCCCATCACAGAACGGACAGAACGGCTTTGGCTTCGGCTTGGTGTATTTGGGGCTCACAGATTTCTCCTGCTTGCCTCCTGTCAGGAATGCAGATGTCGGAGTTGGCTTCTGCTTCACCGGTCGATGATCTCGGTTTACTCTGGAACTACTCTGATCTTGGATGTGACCGGTAACGGCTTGTTTGGCGAGCATCTGCGACTGTGACTTCAACCTCAGCCACGCGGCAAACTGGGGAAGAGTGTACGTTTCACCTGAGTTCGGCTTGAGTATACCCTTCTTGATGCAGTGCTCTATGAAACTGGTGCGGAGACTCGGGGAGAGTTTGCTCAGCAGCTTGTCTACATGTGAGCCACATCGAAGCTCCACTTCGGCTTGGCCGTCTAAGGATTCAAGCATGCCCACCAAGGAGGATACATCGAGACAGAAGTCTTCAAAGGACTCGGTATCGTTGTGCTTGATTGGCGGTGTCATCATAATTGCAGCTATTTCAGTCTGCACCAGTTGACGGGGTTGGCCATATTTGTCGCTCAGTGCTGCCAATGCCTTGGTGTATGGCTGGCTGCTATGGAGGTAGGATTTTGCAAGCTTCAGGGCCTTGCCGTCCAAACTGCCGATTAGCACTTGGTACTTGTATTGCTCGCTGAGATGCGGGTGAACATTAACCAGGTTCTGGAGAGCAATCTTCAGCAGCGCAAAGTCTTTCTCCCGGCAGGGTTGGTTTCGGTACACCGAGGGATGATGCCATGAGGAGATCCATGAGGTTGGTGTTCACTGATGCAATTTCTGGAACAGTTCCCAAAGTGGGAGGAGATATTGGCGTGATGACTGATGACGGTGGTGCACCAGGGTTGCAGACAGGAGTATGATTCGACTGTTGGAGCGTGTTACTGGTTGGGAACACTGGTTTCAGGGAGTCGCATCCTGTTTCCTGCAGGGTGCTCACTGGAGTAACTGGTTGCTGTCCAGTAATAGAGCAGGTGGGTGCACTGGGAGGTGAACCATTCACAGGGACTTGTGAAGTGGTCAGTACAGTCTGGTCAGTCTCGGCTACATCTGGGGTGTTCAAAGATGTATTGCTCAGCGACAGGGTTGGATCAGCAGTTGGCTGGGAGCATGGAATCTCACTGATGTCATGGATAGCTGGATCTGCATCCTCTTGCAGAAATGATTTAACAGCCTCGGCATCTCGTAGTTCCAGTTCGGCTTGACGCAGTCTTCTTCGTCTAGAAAGACGCGTCGTAATTGTCTCTCGCTCTCTTAGCGCTTGACGTTCAACTTCCTCAAGCTGCATACGTGCTGCTCTGGCTCGGTCATCCTGCTCTTTAAGTTGTGTGTCGTATAACTCATCTTCGGCTATCTGCCGTTGGAGTTCCTGAAGCTGGGATTGCTTCCTCATGGCGGTGAGCTTCGCAGCTTGTGAGTCGCTCAGTTGGGAGATGTGGGAACAGCTTGACCGGCTTGAGTGATGTGAAGTTGTGGAGGAAGTGCGATGGCTACCAGTAGGGGAACCAAGTGCAAAATCTTCGAAGCGCTTGGGTGGACGAACAGTCCGGGATGGACGGGTGGATGTTGGCAGTCGATCCATAGGTCGCTGGTTCGAATCCGGCTCGAAGGACCATGAAAAAACGTGAGGTTGAAAGTTATCCCGGTGAGATTTTCCCGTGGTTATAAATAAAGAACAAAATAAGGAAGGAAATAAATGGAAATCTCTAGTGCATCCATACATGTGCGTCCTGTGTCCTAATTACATGTAATAATGAATAAAGGGGGTCATGTGATCTACATGTACATGAACATGGGCCTACATGTCTTTAGAGTTACAATAATCACATGGATAATATTAAACAAATGGGTATTGGGTGTAAATAGCTTCAACACTTAATCGCTATGGAACTAATTATAGCCTTAATTAAGACTAATAGCACTTTAACATTACTAAGTGGGTAAGACAGACCCTATAACACTGTAAACATGTACATGTATTTATCACTATACACATGTACTTACAATGATTATCAAAACAGTTACAAATCACCCCAGAAAGGTCCCCATAAAGGCATCAAAAATGTACTTGCTATTCAAAATCACGCACAGGAATTATCTTGGATGATTATGGGATAACTAGGAATGGGATTTTAGGCAACCTGGTTTGTTATAAATGGGAAAACAGGTCAAGTTTGGATCAAACGCTGGAACAGAAGTTACGGACATAAATGTGATTGTAAAATAAGGATTTTATTGAGGGCGCCTTACATGCTATCCAGCAGTAAGCCAAATGAATATGTAAACCACAAGAGGGCGCTAGTCAGCACAACAGTACAGCTACTACTTTCTGACAACCTCTGAGGTGCATTAATGATGGCCCTATTGTCAATGAAGTCCGCTGGACCAGTGGATGTGCATGCATTTTGAAAAGGCCACGAACTTTAAAATGACCTTGCTACGCCACTCATACACGTAAACTCAGTTCTATTGTTAATAGGCCTTCTTTATACTAAATTATAGTCGTGAATATGGAATGTTTGGTGCAGTGACTATGCGAGTTTTGTGTCGCAGTCACTGGGTTGACGTGCAACACGTACCTTGGACAGCTAACTGATTATAAGTAATACTTTTGTATAAAACGACAGTTGTCTTGAACGTAACTATAAGCAAAGCCTGAAAAATACTGAATGTCTGAAATATGGCTCGGATGTAGAGATGGATCATAGTCTGCAAGAAGTTATTAACAGTACGTAACATTGGCAATTGACAAGAATGAAATCAATGTGAAAAACCTTGCTCAGATTGAAGGAATGCATTGTGTCTAGTACCAAATACCATGTGAAGTTACTCCATGAAAGGCAAATAGGGTCATTTGCATTTATCCCAAAATAACGTACGTACCGAGTTATTATCAAAAAGCTTACGTGGATTAAAAATTGTACTGTTACTACACACCCCATGAAATTATTCCGTCTGGCTGTCATTTAGAAGAAATCAAGAACTAATGTGATTTCAACGATCAGTCAATATTGACTGATTGAGTTTTATGAACGAAATCGTGTTTCGTGATCAAAAGGTTGTTCGTAGTTTTTCACTGTTTTCTCGAAAAGTGAAAAATTCACTGAGCTGAAATTTCTCTTTGGATTTTGAGATTGCACATCCACTGGTGCTGAGCCACACTAATCGGCTGGATAAGAATCGTGTCCCGGGTGGTGATTTAGGGATTACCCGATATGAACATAAACTTTCATCAAATGTATCTTTACTGCCGTAAGCCCATGTATAAACGGACAGAAAAAAAAGGAAACCCGTAAACCGATTTTGAAGGTTATCACGTACCACTTTTTGTATACCTTCGGTGTCCTTCATTTAGGTAATCTGGGACAACAATGGGCGAAACGGCGAAGTAATGAAATGAACCAGTTCACAGTATGTACTTTTCAAGTGTTACGTCCATGAATGATAATACAGCATGGAAGACAGCACAGTAAAGGGCAAAGGTGTATGAAAGAACCATTATGTGTAAAGCATGATCTCACTGACGACGAATAATGAAAACGTACTGACGTTTCTGAAACTAGCTTGTTGAGGAAAAGCATGTCATCTTTTGAGCGTGTAAGGCAGGGGATATCATTCATGTGCATCTCTTGTCAGTTTTAACAGAGTATTTTTGTGTCTCTATAATATAGGTTTTCTCGGTCAATTTCGGCAAATGAGCAGCCAATTTAACCACTACGCTATTCTATTTCGCGCGAAATCAAATGCTACTGAAAAGGGTCATTCGATTTCGTTTTATGACCAGTCAAATGTACTGTTGCGTCATTCGATTTAACAAAATAATCATGCAATTTAACAATTCAACAAAGCAGCATTCAAATTCGCAGGAGCTTTTTGAGGCGTGTGTTTAGTCATTCAAATTCATTTTTGGGCAGTCATTTCTGGAATTTGTGCAATCTAAAAAACGCTTTGTTAAATTTTTGTTTCCTTAAGAATGTTGAAGGCATAAATACGGTTCACTTTTTGGCACTTGAGTCACTTTGCCGATGTACTTCGAAGACGAGCTTTCGCTACAGTTTTACACGCATATTTCTAGAAATGGCAGCTCGTGGTCGCTACGCTAGAGTGGCCCAGGTAGATCGAGAAAGGTTGATTGAGGCCTTCGAGGGAAACGAGCAAGACTACCTTGAGCTTGCGATCAATTTGAACATCAACAAGTCCACAGCCAGATCAATTGTTGCAACATATTTGAGGACTGGAAGGCGAGAGACGCTGGCAAGAGAAGGGAGCAACCCACAGCAAGATGGATGATGACATGCGAAACCATCTGCAAGGCATCTTTGACGCTAATCCCGTCTTGACACTTCAACAAATGAAGGCTAGTTTGAGTGAGCATCTGCCAGAGAAGCCCCAGGTTTCTACTACCACCATAGCCAGGGCCTTGGATGGGATGATGATTACACTGAAACTAGTGGAGGACGTCCCTGATGCAAGAAATTCCCCTGAAGTTCTTGATCAACGCGTCCAGTATGGTGAGTGGTTCCTGCAGCATGGTGTTCTGGCGCATCTAGTCTTCATTGACGAGAAAGGTTATAACGTCTGGACTCGACGCTCCCAGGGTAGAGCTCCACGAGGGATCGCTGCAAGACGAGTCGTCGACAGACAACGAGGGAGAAATTGCAATGTCACCTTCGCTGTTTCTAGTGAAGTAGGCTTGGTGCACCACCGAATCGCATTCGAAACTGTGACGCGAGAGAGATTCGAGGAGTTTCTTGCGGACACAATTCAAGAGTGTGATGCAGTTTTCCCAGACGACGAACCCATATACCTCATATACGACAATGCGAGGCCTCACGTGCGAGCCCAACTCCCTGAAGGTGCCAACCAAATGATCCAGCTGAAGCGCCTCCCTCCCTACTCCCCATTCCTGAACAGCACGGAGATGGCACACTCTGCATTCAAGGCTGGGTTACCTGAGACAGGCTGCCCAGCAAGCAGGAATGAACATGCAGCAGTGGAGGTGCGATCTCCTTCAACAAGCAGCCATCCAGAGCGTTGATGTCATCACCCAAGTGAAGTGCATGCAGTGGTACAACCATACCCAAACATATATGCCAAGATGTCTGGCACGCCAACAGATTGATGTTTGAGGAAGAAACAACATAAACAATAAAAAAACCAGGAAAAACATAAAGAAACACCCCATTCAAACACAATACAAAATTAGGTCTTGGTCAGTTAACCAATAAAGATCTCCCCCCCCCAAAAAAAAAAAGAATGAAGAAGAAAACAAAGAAGAAGAAAAAACCTCATTGGCCCCATGTAAAGTCTACTGGAAGCATAAATAAAGAAAACAAGGTTTGCCTGAATTAAAGTGAAGATACGAAACAGTTGCCTAGTACAGTTTATCTGTTTATTCGTATTTCTTTAGTCGTACTTATTTGAATTCTCTTTAAGCGAAATTGATTGCCTCTTTACGAAATTGAAAAAAAATAAATCAGTAAAATCTCCAGTCGAACCAGCTTTGCTAAATTGAATGATGATTGTGTGTAACGAAAAAGAATGACGATATGCTAAATTGAACACAGTGCTAAAGGAATTTGAATGCCTCAAAACGAAATTGAATGGCCGAATTCTGAATTTGAAACGCAGTAACAACTGGAGAGGGAAAATAGCTTCAATTCGAACGCACGAAAATTAAATTGGCTGCTCATTTGCCGAAATTGACCGAGAAAACCTATACAAAAAAGGGTCATTTTGACCCGGAAAATGTCATTAATTTTGGCCAGGGATTTATTTCTTATTTGAACTGGGCAGCCAGTTTAATGGTCTGCCATGATGGGAAAGAGAAGACACTGCATGTGAAGAAATTACGGTTTTAGGGAAAACTGTCAATTTTTAACATGACACTTATACAGGTCAAAATGACCCGGAAAAATTTCATTTTGACCCGGAAACATGTATAAGTGTCATTTTTTGACCCGGAAAAAGACTGAGCCAAGTAGAACCAAGTCAAGCTGGCCCTGATGTTTTAAGAGTGCAATCTCCTCTCCCCATTTGTGACAATTTCTCTGAACTCATTGATCATTTTTGAGAAATTATTCTTGACCCATTATAGACAAACATGAATTTCTCAGCAAGCACCGATTACCATGGTGACGGAAGATACATGCAGCATGTCAACACAATGCAACATATTCACAAGATTACATTTCGACCCGAGGATGCCGTTCTAGACGTGGGATGCGGTACGGGCGAAGAGACCAAATCCATAGCAGGGAAAGTCAAAAGCGTAACAGGTAAAAATTACAATTATAGATCTAATACATAAAATCACGAGATAAAAATGTACATCTCCATCACGCAAAGATGTATAAAAATGCTATTGATTCCGGTAGTCGCAGCTGCTGCATCAGATTCGAACTGGCTACCCGAACCCGGCAAGCTTGATGGTAGATTTGTTAAGACAACTACTCTAGAAAGAGGAGGTGGTTGGTTGACTCCAATTTGGCAAACCAGCTTTAGATGAATCATATAACAACACCTATCAATAAAAAATGATGTTGTGAAGGGCAAGATTCATTGTCAAAATTCACGTTATTGTAAGCTAATTGTATTAGGCAAAAAAATATAATAGTTCTGCTTCCGGTTTCCCTACATACCCTATTCTGACATCCCCTTCCCTGATTTTTTTTATTGGAAAAATGCGAAAAAAAACACCCAAAACCATCACTTTATACCTTTTAACCTTGACTATACACGCAGAGATCGTACACAACAAAAAAGTGGTAAAACAAAAAAATCCCTACCTACCTACCCTATTTTCGAATGTCATGTAATTGGAAGCAGAAATATATATTTTTTGGCCTTATTAATCCCATAGTACATTTCTTAGGCTAAATGCAACGACGGAGTCCGCAAATTACCCTTTTACAATTACATTTTGCCCTTTATGTCACCAAATCTTCCTGCTAATGTTGCACATTTTTTTTCTGCCCTTGCTACGAAATGTTTCGACCAGAGACATCAATCTATGGTTTGTGGGCCGTATCCTATTGCATTGAGCCGTTTACGTTCAAATAGGCTGTGCACAGTGACCGAGGAATCACTGATCAATTTGAACTTCCATTTGCCAAAGATATGCGTGTCAAAACGAAGGACTAGATGCTGTCTTAGCATTGGATAGCTTGTACAAACCAAATTGTTGGCTATTTTGTAAAGTATTCGATTAACAAAATGTGGAAGCATTGCACTCCCATGTGAAGAACATAATAAGCGTGTAATGAGTGACATAAAGACCAAAAGTTACATTTTTTCATTTCTTCATTTATTTCCACTTCATTCACAGGCAGAGAACAAAAAAATCAGCATTAACAAACACAGAAATACAAATACTATACACATAAGGACAGTGAAGTGGAGGAAATCTTTTGATTATGTGCAGGTCAAATTAAATTGGATAAATTAGACGAAATATAACAAATAAAACAATAACAGTTACAGGGACAAAAATACATAAATAAGTAGGTTGTTTCATCAGCGATTGATGTTGCTGTCGTGTAAATGCCGACTTCCAGCGAATCATTTCTGCACTGCATGTGCATCACTTGAAATATGAGTAACATTTGCCTTACCATATGGGTACAAAGATTGAGAAAGACTGTTGGATGTTTTACCGGATGGCAAATATTTACAAGCATGACGTCGACGTCACTGGTGACGCGCATCTTTTTTCCACCGTCGATCATCGCAGGTATCGACAACTCGGAGGAGATGCTAGCCCTGGCACGCACCAGGAACCCAGCACCCAACTTGACCTACCTTTACGGCGACGCTCGGGACTGCGGTGTTAACCCGGACTTGGTGGGACGGTTCGACAAGGCCGTCAGTTTCTTCGTTCTTCACTGGTTACCTGGCCCAGCTATCGCCAGGGCGCTCAGAGGTATCTTGGCCTGTCTCAAGCGGGGAGGGGAGGCGTTGTTCATCCTCGCTAATCGCACTCCCGTAACCGCTGACGCGGACCAGTTTCTCAAAAGTCATCCTGAGTGGGGCAAGTACGTAAAGGTAAACAAACAGGTTTTGCAGGACTTTTTAGGAAAGGGGAAGGTATAGAGCCTAGCCACTATTACTACAGGGTGAGTAAAAAAAAACCGAAACCCAAATGTCGGGACTATTGTTTTACTAAAGTTCTGCATGTAGTACTTTCAAAATCTAGGACTTAAAAGCCCAATTCATAAGCTTTCTTTTAATAGTACAAGAATCATTCAAATCACTCATGTACTTTTCAAGTTACAGAATTTCCATCCATCTACAAAAATTCACCTCGCTAAAAAAAAAGTGCTGGTCTTAGCAAATGTAACAGGTCTGGTTTCAGTACTTACTCTTCCCCGACTAGTTCCTTACTCCAGCATTATTTCATAATTTCTTAACTTCGTGTTTGTGTCATTTTACATGTGAGCAGCCATTGCGATCATGCTTTTTGCCTAGCGCCCTCTCGCGGCCAACTAAACTTTTTTTTTTACAGCGCGCGCCGCCTAGAATTTTGCTAAACTATGCAATGGGCGTAGCGAGCAGGCGAGTTTTGCATTCCACCGCGCTTTGTTTAAGAGAAATAGCTGACATTCCGGGCGTTTCGGTTAGTTTTCTTGTAAGGCCTGCTGCGAAATAACTTTGATTCCGTTCCAACTCTGCTTTGGGTTGACATCATCTGCCTGGTTCTGCTCCTGCTTTGCGACCAGCATTTATAACGAAAATTGCACACTCCACTTTTATTGCTGCAAATTTTGGTGCGGCTCCCTGTTGTAGCAGCAATATAATTTTATATTCGGCGTTGCCGGAACTGCAGTTTTCTGCACTATTTTCGCCCATATTTTCGTCGATTTTAACATCGGACACGGAGTAGGCATGAGCGTAGATCCTCCCAAGTGGTGAGTAAATCCCTTGTCTGATATTTAACATTTTTATGCCTAAAACATTTTTATGCCTGAATCTTTTTATGCCATCATGTATGCAACATTCTGGTCTTTTGTATGCTTGGTTTATTGCCAGAAATTAAGGCCGTCAAAACGGACACGGCCTGAAATTTGCCTTGCGATCAGGACTGATTAACTTTTGAAATCAATCTGTTGTCGTGATTTGCAAGTATTTTTGAGAATTAGTTTTTCCCTAATGATTCTCTATTTTCTCTATTTCTATGATTCCCTAATGATTCTCTAATTCTTGCATGAGATGGCAAAAAGGATTTTCTGTTGACTATATTTTATACTTTAAACATTTCGGGAAAACAATGTTATTAGGTACTTTATTTTTGTGAATTTCCATTTTTCCTTTTGAAAGAGAAACAAATTTGTAACTTTTGCAGCACGCACACTTTAACTTAAATTTTAGTGTTGCTATAATATTACGTTCTCATGTATCATTTGAAATAGATTTTCCCATTTTCCCAAACCTATCGGTTTTCTTTAAAGTGCTATGATCATTCGGGAATTCGTTATTAGGGCATGGTATTATATTCTTATTTCATTTTATAACATAACTTGGTGAATAATTCATTTCTATTTTCGGATTTAAAATTACACTACATGTATATAAAATATTCATATTCTTGCATAATTGCCATTTAAATAATTCTTCTGTTTGGGCAACAATCATTTTATGCCACAGTAATTCCCATAATTCATTAGTCATTTATTGTTTTTATGCATTTCAGATAATATCCTTGGAGCGACTTCATTAGCCCATTTCCCTATTTGACTGTCGTTTTTATAGACCCAACAAAGTGCTGTTTTTATACACCCTACAAAGTCGTTTTTATATACTCACCAAAGTTCATATTTATACTATAATTCTTTTTGTAAATACTGTACCTGATCATTTATATATATATTGTCTCTATTTGTACTATAAATAAAACATTTCATATTTTTGAGACAACAGAAAACTTCGCTCTACCCAAATCATTTTTTTAGTGGAACCCCTCGGTTGAAAGGAGAATGCCACATTTTAAACTAATAAATCCCACTCTCCCCGGTTACACAAAGAAGAGACATATTTCTAACAAAGCTATCATGAACAAACGATGCTTGTAAAATGCCCATCACATGTTATTAGTGAAAGGTTTGAATAAATGTAGGCTTATGAACATATTCTAGTGTGGCAGATATGTGATGGGATTGTTCATTTGATGATAAAAGCATGGAATTTGGCACACAGTCAGAGTATGTCATGAATATGATATTTGGCTATAGGGCCATCGAAGAATAGTCCTTTGAAAAAAATATATGTAGAATAACAAGCGGTGGCAGCCATTTTGAAAATTGCTTGTTATTCTACCTATCTTTGTTCAAAGGACAAATCTGCGCTGGCCCAATAGCCAAATATCTTTCTTAAGACATAGGCCTACTATGACTGTGTGCCAAATGCCATGTTTTTATCTTCAAAATGAACACCACTAACATTAACGCTTAGACTAGTATGTAACTTTTTCTTTCAGGATTACAAATCTTCATATAATCCCTGGAACCAAACCGAGACAGGCATGGAGAAACTGCTGACGGCGTGTGGTTGGACGAACGTGCAGTGCGAGCTGTATCCTGTGACAACCTCTTTAAATGAAAGGCGAACAAAACGTAGGTCGCTAGACTCGCGCCCTCTTTCGTTTTTGCTGGTACATCCTAGTGTCATCTCTGTGCTTATCTGAGTTACTGAATGAATGACTCCCCGACTGACTGACTGACCGACAGGCTGACTCTCCGGTTGACTGACTCGCCGACTGTCACTTGAGACTTGGTGGTGTAGAGAGCCGAGCAGTGCTATTATATAGTATTACCCCGTTACGGCAATGAATGAGCTAAATATGGCCCATTGTGTAGTTTATGCAAGAGACTTCCAGGGAATAGCCGTTCTGAATCAATTGAATACAATTCTGTGCTCTTTGACTTAGATTAGTCTGGGACCAGTCTACTTAGCTTGTTTTCTGTTTCTTAAAGTCAGTGACCTTAGCTGGCACCTTGACGGGCTTTCTTAGTTTATTTCTTTTCCCCAATACCTCGGCTTTAGAAGTGTTAAATGTCCAAACAAACCTGAATTACAGTAAACCTTGGCCTGATATAGGATTTGATCTTCGTGAATCAGAACATCAACATGCATTATATTTGGCTCAGTACATATATGAATCATAATTACTGTGCATTATGCGCTGTATGTAATACTGGTGACCAATCAAAGTAAATACATTTGGAAGACCTATGTATAGGTTTTTATGTGAGTATGGAAGAATGGAACATCTTTTGACAAAGTAAAAAAAACCCAATATTTCTTTAAATATTTTAGACCAAGGGACAGATTTCTCCTTCGTCCTTTTTACCTCTACAAACGATTAGTTTTTAGTTTTATTTCTAGGCTGAAATTGCTAATACGGGCAATGTTTGTTGTTATCTCTCGACAGTGCTCTTTAAAACTGCCGCATTGGGTCAAACTGCGCTGATACCAGAGCGGGAGCAAGAGGCGTACCTGGAGGACATGTGGCAGTGGGCGTTGTCTCGATACCAAGACCCCGCCCAAGCTGGTCACGTGGTCTTCCCCAAGGAGAACGCGGTCGTACGCGCCGTTAAGCCGCAGGTTTAATAGACCGATCTACTAATTGCATGGGTTTCTTGTTGAACTTCACGCCCACCAGATCGGAAGCTAGGCGTTTCAAAGATGATGGGGTATTAGTATCTCTCTTTTAAAAACAAAGCGATTGTCAAATCCTACATATAAGAATTAACTAATTATTGTTCTGAGTCTTCCTCCTTAATATCTAAAAAAAATGTATCGTTCTTTTCCTTCAGGTTGGCATCCTTACCCATATATGTTTACAGCAATAAGATATTCATAGTAGTATACCAAGCTTAGATTCCAAGCTTTAAAATGGTATGGCGGTACGTGTTTCCGCGGCGACGCTAGAGCCTCGCAACAAAATTGCTACGGGTATTATGGACGCGATGTAGAGTACAGTTAGTATCACGCTTTGCTCTTGTAATCCTATATAAATCAATATATCTGTGAACTACCTCTGGAAATTTGCCTCTTATGTAAATCAGTTTTCAAGTTGAAAATAAATGTTTAGTTGAAATGAATTGAATTCACTCAGTATTTTTGCTTTAAAAACCTTCCTTTACTTTTTTTTCTGCGTGTGCATGTGTGTGTGTATTTTTGTCTTCAACAGTGCGTGTTTTCGACTCCTGCCTTGCACGAAGTAAGGAAGACGTCAGGATAATTTAATCATCGCCGATTTGCAGTGTAAAACAAAACACGTGGAATAAAATCAATGACTATTGATTACAAGTATTGTATTACCGCGAGTATAGAATAAAATCTACATTATAAAAAAGCCTTAAATGTAAATAAAAATGGAGAATATAAATATGAACAAAATACGACTACAAGTTACAACCTATATGAATGAGATGAACAGTTCCCATCGGCATGAAATATTACATCCAAAAGTTTCCGGGTAAACATGACAACATTTCGTGTCTCATGTGACTTATCATGCAGCCAAGCGCTTTTTTAACCGGAAAAGTGCCTGGTCAGATCAAACTGCATGATGAAGTAGTCAGTGGGCTTGTGGTGGCCCATATGCAATTTCGGGTACACTCTTTGAAACTCTCAGGATCACTAGAGGATACCTCAAGAAGTTCCAAACCACTTGATGCCATTTTTTCTGACCCTTTTGTGGGCGTGGCCATGATTTAAAAAAGTGGGGGCATCGCGCGCAAACAATTTTTAAAAAAATGTTACTTTTCTTTTTCGCATTTGGACAGTTCACCCAAGTGCTACATCACAAGAAAAAAAAATCCACAATTTTGCCTCTTTTGGGGGTGGGGCAACATTTTAAAAAGTGGGGGTCACATGTCGCTAACAGAAAATCGACCTGCAAAATGCAATCTTGAGGTTTTTTGTTTTTGTTTTTGTTTTGTTTCAATCCATTATAATTTGCCAAGGAAAAAACGTTTACATGTCACCTCATAAATTCTTTGGCTCCCATTTGGGGGGCGTGTCACACTTTTTTCATAAAAAGGGGGCATACGTGTATTCCAAAAGGAAGCTTGTGCGAGCCCATATGGATTATTGCACATTCTTTCAAACTCTCACAAACACCTCTGGACACCTCAACAAGTGACAATCTGCTCCACCTCACTCCCCCCCCCCTCCCCATTGGCCATTAAAATGGCAGCCGTTTTTAACATATCTGGCATATTGTACACATACATGTACAAATGGCCAAATAATCAATTTTATGAGACATTTATGTTTTGATATACAGTGAAATCTCGATAAGTCAAACTTTGAGAGAATGGGCTCAAAATGTGAGCTAAGCTGAGTTTTGAGTCAAGCAGGGTTGTATATCACTGTTATACAACTGAAGGGAATAATTAGTCTTTGTTTGACTTAACAGGAGGTTTGATTTATCAACAGTTTGACAGTTTAAGATTTCACTGTAGTTTATTTTGTCCTGACAACAATGCTGACCCTGTTTTATAACATACAAACTGCAATAGCCTTTTTAACTTAAAATTTATTTATCTTCACTTCATTTATAAAAATGATATTATGAAATGTGGTACTCGATCATTGGAAATAAAGTTTGAAAATTACAAATTGCAATATTAAGAGAAAAACTTGCCAAACTTGGGTGATTTAGTGAATCCTACATAAGTCACTTGTAATTGGACAACATATTTGGTATTTAATATCCATGACGTTATTTAGTAATAGAAAAGTGTGAGACTATATTGTCAATAGTTTCAGAATCCAGATCTGGATGGATTACACAACATTTTTTGTGTGTCACAGTTTTAAGTATGGCATATCACTGAATATATGTATCATTAGTATAATTGGTGCCATACTTTAAGATTGGATATATCAGAAGGAAAACTTGATATCCCAAGCCTCTGTCAAGAGGTTTGCCTAACTTTTGAGTTTTTCGCTTTGGAAAACCATGCTGGAATGTCAAGGTAAAGGATTTGTAGTTATTAAAATACTTTTATAATTTGAACTGGTCACATGCTTTTCTTGAATCTTTGGGGAGCCAGGTTGGCGCTTGGGGAGTCAGGTTGGCTCATTGGTTACTTTCCTCGCAGGGTTCGATTTCTGCCTGGGCCTTCATGTGGATTGGGTTTTCAGAAACTATTGGCAATATAGTCATCAAAGTTACAGCCTAAGATGTGTTTCTCTACTCGGTGGCTACAAATCCTTTTGATATATCCAATCTTGAAGTACATCACCAATCATATCATTTATGGTGATATGCCAAATTTAAATTTGTTAAGTGAAACAAATCTTGTGTAATCCATCTTGTGTAATCTGGATTCTGAAACTATTGACAATATAGTGTCACACTTTTCTATTACTAAATAAGGTCATGGATATTAAATGCCAAATATGTTGTCCAATTACAAGTGACTTATAAAGGATTCACTAAATCACCCAAGTTTGATAAGTTTTACTCTTAATATTGAACTTTGTCATTTTCAAACAATATTTCCAATGACCGAGTACCACATATAATAATATCATTTTTATAAATGAAGTGAAGATAAATAAATTTGAAGTTAAAAAGGCTATTGCAGTTTGTGTGTAATAAAACGAGGTCAACATTGTTGTCAGGACAAAATAAACTACAGTGAAATCTCAAAATGTCAAACTGTTAAATCAAACCTCCTGTTAAGTCAAACAAAGACTAATTATTCCCTTCAGTTGTATAACAGTGATATACAACCCTGCTTGACTCAAAACTCAGCTTAGCTCACATTTTGAGCCCATTCTCTCAAAGTTTGACTTATCGAGATTTCACTGTATATCAAAACCTCCTGTTAAGTCAAACAAGGACTTTATTCCCTTCTATAACAGTGATGTACAACCCTGCTTAGTCCCAAAAGAAAAGTTTTTTTTTTTTTTTACCTGATATTTTTGCTTCAAATGTCGGCTGATGACTGCAAATGGTGCCCGACTAGACTTAGTGCAAATATATGGGAGTCTCATTGACTTTTTCATTTTGCCGACGCGCATGGCAACGGCGACGCTCGCGCATACCAGAATTATTTTCTGTCATGATTTATTTTCAATGAAATAGTTTTTAAAAAATGAATAACATAATATAATACATTTGCGGGGTGAATATACAAGAGAGGTCACCCACTGAAAAAAGGCGCTCTCTCTTGCCCACAATATTTCAAAAAAAAAGGCGTATATGGACCTTATAGGTAGCAGTCATCAAGGCAATACATTTGTCTTGCTGTGACATACCAGAAATAAACCTTTTAAGCACTCATTGTTACTGAATTAAAATAACAAAGGATGCCCTATAAGACGGCCGCTATACTCATAAAGTCTATCCATGAGGTCTAAGAAATACGAAGGGTGCTCAAGTTTAAGGAATACATCAATCTGGCATGAAATGTCATCATGGCCTACGTCAAAGTGAAAATGCACAAAACGCTGCTCCGTCCCATATATTCAAAACTTTTATTTTTCGATTCATTGACATTCGACGGTTGTATTCAAAAATGCTATCAAAAGCTTGGAAAACACAACGACTATCCTCTATCAATAAAATTTCTTTAGAAATATAACTATGCAGTTTTTCTAGTATATATTTTCCTGCTCAGGGAATTATTGTAATTAAGGGAATTATTGTTGTTAATGTATTTTTACTCTGTTGGACGGTTTTTAATCAAATTTGGTATACTACTTTTAATTGGATAGTTGTATTTTTGGAAGACAGGTGTTTTTACCAATTTATCTGAATAATTAAAGTATTATTCCATCCTGTATGCTCATTGTCTCTGTCCCTTTGCCCGATTCATGCTATTGTGTCTCATTCAGTGCACATCACTGGAGTTCGTTTCATTCCCTTTAACCAGATATTTTGCTTCAAATGTCGGCTGATGACTGCAAATGGTGCCCGACTAAACTTAGTGCAAATATATGGGAGTCCAGAGAGGCCACATAAAGCTTATTCTCGACCATAACCCAATCTAAAAACACGTTAAAATTGTGCAGCAGCATGATTCCAGTCAAACCAGTGAGTTTGGCGGTTTTGAGACATCATCTTTCATTGACAAAAAACCCCTTTTTCATTTTGCTGACGCGCATGGCAACGTCGACGCGCGCGCATACCAGAATTATTTTCTGTCATGATTTATTTTCAATGAAATAGTTTTTAAAAAATGAATAACATAATATAATACATTTGCGGGGTGAATATACAAGAGAGGTCACCCACTGAAAAAAAGGCGCTCTCTCTTGCCCACAATATTTCAAAAAAGGCGTATATGGACCTTATAGGTAGCAGTCATCAAGGCAATACATTTGTCTTGCTGTGACATACCAGAAATAAAAAGCTTGGAAAACACAACGACTATCCTCTATCAATAAAATTTCTGTAGAAATATAACTATGCAGTTTTTCTAGTATATATTTTCCTGCTCAGTCTTGCAATTGACTTTGTTATTCGTTAATCTTTCAGAAATTTGAGATAATTAACACACTGTTATAATGCCACTCAAAATAATTATAATATACACGACTACATGTAATTGTCGCACAGATTTTTCATATTATTCAGGGAATTATTGTAATTAAGGGAATTATTGTTGTTAATGTATTTTTACTCTGTTGGACGGTTTTTAATCAAATTTGGTATACTACTTTTAATTGGATAGTTGTATTTTTGGGAGACAGGTGTTTTTACCAATTTATCTGAATAAATAAAGTATTATTCCATCCTGTATGCTCATTGTCTCTGTCCCTTTGCCCGATTCATGCTATTGTGTCTCATTCAGTGCACATCACTAGAGTTCGTTTCATTCCCTTTAACGCGTTTCTATCATTCCGTTCCCCCTGTGAGCATCCATCGTTTGTCTTCTAAGGCCCCCCAAAAAGTCTCCGGTTTCTGGTATGGAGCTTGCCCAAAAATTAGTGTGGCGACGCGGCTTTTTTTTTTTTTTTTTACCAGATTTCTTTGCTTTAAATGTCGGCTGATGACTGCAAATGGTGCCCGACTAAACTTTAGTGCAAATATATGGGAGTCCAGAGAGGCCACATAAAGCTTATTCTCGACCATAACCCAATCTAAAAACACGTTA